TTCGTCGATATTTTGGATGTATAATCAGTGCGATTAAATTTTCTAGGTGTTTCCTGTTTGTGGCCATTTGGAGGACGAGATACTTCCTTTTTTGAGCTTTTATTTTTTAACAAACCTTTTTTAATGTGGTCCTCTTTCCTTTGGCCCGTGTAATCCAATCGACTCTGAGCTTGATTTATGTAAATTCACATCGATTAGTGCATTGACCGAGTGAGTACCATTCGATGTCTCGATCGCGTTTGCTAACACTCCATTTAGCAGCGTTCATCACTACAATGACCTCCGAAAGCGTCCGAGCCGCGCTGCTGTAACAACCACATACAACTAAATCGTTTGAAAGTTGAGGGCATCGGACTCGTGCAAACGTCGTGATACCATCCTTCGAACTCATAGCTTTGTATGCCACTTTCCACAAGGTACCAACAGCCTGGGTGTAAGCGATTGCATTTTTAACACTGTGCAGTCACCAATCAGAAGTTTTCATAAAGAAACTAGACACAAACAGTACCATAGACCAAAGGAACTGATGACCAGAAAACAGTGAAGAACTGTGAATTGTTGGAACCACAAGTGTAAACAAACACAGAGAGAACCATTGTGCTAAGAAAGTACACATGATGAATTACCTTCGAAAAAACGATGATCTTGGCGATCACTTTAACTGAAAAAGATTTAACTGAGGCGCAAACAGTAGTCTTGATGCGTGATAAACAATAAAAAAATAAAACTGACTCAGCAAGAAAAAATATCACTATTCTTTTTGAGTGTGTTAATGAAAAAGCAATGAGGTATGTAGGTAAACATTAACCATTGCTAAAAGGTGTTGGTTAATAATCTTTCAGTGTTTTAGGTCGTGCTGATGTCACATGTTTGTTATCAGTTGTTAATTTTTTGTTCATAAGGCACCCCGTTTAAAACCTCTATGAGTCTGATAATATAAGGTAATGGTTGATTGGATAGTTCTTCCGCTACTGGAAGCGAACTATCATAGGATATAATTGTGAATAAATGGCTTCCTTCCTTACAGGAATTACTTTCTTACTGACCTATATCCACTCAAGTATTGTTCTAGACTTGACGAAAAGAATAAAACAAGTTTGTAAAATACTTATTACTAGTATCGAGGATCCCATGAACTTTTCTTTTCACACAAAGTATTTCTTACTCTCAGATTAAGCGATTTCTTTATAGAAACTCTTAAAACTTGACATCTCAAGAAATAAGGATAGTATCTTACTATGATTTACTAATTTCTTTTTCCTTTTTTATCGATAATATATATATACTCCTACCTGGAGTTATTAGTGATCCACTGCCATTAGGTACGGAAGCCCGTTAAGCGAAAGCTCCCTCCAAAACCAAAGTCGGAGTTGACCATTCCACTTGTTGACTGTCTTGACCATAAAAAACGTTGGAAGGACAGGGGCGACCAACTCGGAAAACCTTGTATAGGTTAGCTAACTGTCCATCCACATATGACTCACAAAGACACAGGACAGGAAAGCTCACGCGTTCCAAATGAAAGCATAAACTGCTTCTACATGAGCGCTGCGAGTTTACAGAATAAAATGAATGAGCTACGTGAACTCAGTAATGCTAACGATGCTCATCTTATAGGATATCTTCTCAAATTACGGACTAGGAGCTAGCAACACCAGGAATTTTTTTATTTTTCAATGACAGAAAAACAGGAATTGGAGGTGGAGTAGCCTTATACATACGATCCTGCCTGGATGAGCATCAAGTGCACACCCAACAGTTTATCAATCTTAATGAATCCGTATTGTGCTCAGTAAGACTGTCTAATACCTCGAAGTGTCTATTTGGAGTCCTCTACAGGAAGCCCACTGCTGATATATAGTGCAGAAATCATATACTGAAAGGATTATCCCACTCTACTCGTGGCTGATTCACTCATATCCCAATTCGGAGGGACTTCAATCTTCTTAAAGTCAATTTCGCGGAACATATGTGTATTGGAGATGACAACTCTAGTGAAGTTCGGTTCTTCAACCGCATTGAGGATCTGGGATAATTCGAAGATGTGAAGTCGGCAACTCGTTGGAGAAACAGTCAGACGCCATCGCGCTTAGATTGCGTATTTACAAACAAAGAATTCCTTGTCAACAGCCTCTCAATCTTGGCTCCTATGGGTAAAAGTGACCGTGCCGTCCTATCCTTCAGTCTTATTGGCGAAACTCAGCTCAGACATCTTACCAACAATAGTCACTGGATTCTGGATGGCTTGATGTGTCGGCTTTACTGAACAACCTACGGCAGACGGACTGAGAAGTTCACTCACAACTTGATGTGGATGCTGATTGGGATTTCTAACTGCAATAGCATGGTTTCAGAAAAGGTCACTCTCGTATAACCAAACTGGTGGACAGATGAACAAATATCCTTGATCGCAAGGGGAAGGTTAACGTCATTTACCTTGACATCTCTAAATCTTCTGACAGGGTCAACCAATAAGCTCAAACTATTAAGTGTCAGATCACATTTAATTGATTGGCTCAGTTCATGTCTAAAAAATGGACTTCATAATTGGGCAGACGATAACGGACATAACTTTAACAATTCAAGATGTAAAGTGGTCCATCTGAGGCATGTTACAGACTACAGTTATAACTTAGGTAACTCCTCTCTAGTAGTATCCGAAGTCGAAAAAGATTTAGGAGTTTTGTTGCCCTATGATCTAAAGTCTTACTCTAACCGTGACAAAAATGCCTTTCGAGTAAACCTTGCACTCGTAACATTGAAGCGTATTTTTGACCAGTTTGACGGAAGATCTTTCCATATAATCTTCAATAGTTTTATCCGTCCACATTTAGAGTACGGAAACATAGTATTTCCTCCCTCACTCCAAAAGGATAAGGACACCGTGGAGCGTATCCAACGGCGAGCCACGAAATCAGTTCGAGTACTCAAATTTAAACCTTACGAAGAGCGCCTCCATTCACTAAACCTTCACCCACTATAGTATAATGGCTTACAGTATCTTTAACGCCTCTGAACATCACCTTAAACAATTAAGTTTAGCTTTAACACAAACCTAAGGGGTAACATACAGAAACCAGAGATACATCACAGCAGAACGGACTGTCGACACAACTTCTATTCCTTAAGAGTTATCGAATGGTGGAATTCACTGCTGGTCCAATAAACTTTCGAGGAGTCCTTCAAGAGGCAACTTGACCTACTCTTAAGGACTAAGGATAGTATTATAGTATGGCCTCGAGTCGCGGTTGATTATGATCACCACTACAGGAAGACTACGTGCCAGTTAAACAATAGGATCTACCGTAGCTAAAATATCAGAAGGCAGTTGATGGCTGTAGTCGAGATGTACTTTTTGGCGATCTCGTGGTATCGAAAAAATACCGAGATCGTGTCAGGTTACAAGTGTGGTTACTGAGCGTAACCGGACTTGTGCAAGGTCACAATCAACAGAAGAATGTATGTTCAAATGGTTCAAATGGTTGTGGACGGAATAGAAGAAGCTTTCGCTTAACAGGCTTCCGTGTCTAGTAGCTGGGGATCACCAAATCCTTCAGGCAGGAACCTAGGTATGTTAAAAATAAAAGAGGAAAAGAAGTTAGTAACTCATAGTGTGATACTATCCTTAGTCCTTAAGAATAGATCAAGTTGCCTCTTAAAGGACTCCTGGGAAGTTGCTTGGACTAGCTCGCTCGGCAGCGAGTTCCAGCATTTGACAACTCTTAAGGAGTAGAAGTTGTGTCTACAGTCCGTTCTGCTATGTTGTGTCTCCAGGTTTTGGGTGTTACCCCTTAGGTTAGTGTTGGAACTAAGCTTAAGCAGGTGTTTAAGAGGATGTCCAGAAGTGTTAAGGATAATGTAAGCCATCAGAAGGTCACCTCTAAGACGTCTGTACTCTAATGGGTAAAGGTTAAGTGAATGGAGGCGCTCTTCGTAAGGTTTAAATTTGAGTACTCGAACTGATTTCGTGGCTCGCCGTTGGATACGCTCCACGGTGTCCTTATCCTTTTGGAGTGAGGGAGGAAATACTATGTTTCCGTACTCTAAATGTGGACGGATAAAACTATTGAAGATTATATGGAAAGATCTTCCGTCAAACTGGTCAAAAATACGCTTCAATGTTACGAGTGCAAGGTTTACTCGAAAGGCATTTTTGTCACGGTTAGAGTAAGACTTTAGATCATAGGGCAACAAAACTCCTAAATCTTTTTCGACTTCGGATACTACTAGAGAGGAGTTACCTAAGTTATAACTGTAGTCTGCGACATGTCGCAGATGGACTACTTTACACTTTGAAGTTTTAAAGTTATGTCCGTTATCGTCTGCCCAACTTTGAAGTCGAGTCAGATCCTCCTGAAGTGCCTGTATATCGTCTTGGTTGCGTATCTCTATCCAAAGTTTCACGTCGTCGGCAAAAAGTAATAAGTCTGACGTTACCTGTTGAGGAAGATCATTTATTTAGATCAAGAAGAGAAGAGGCCCTAGTACTGAGCCCTGGGGGACCCCACTAGGACATTCCATAGCCTGAGAGATAATGTGATATTAACCCTGACCTTAAAATGTCGATTTTTCAGGTATGAAGTAAGCCAATCGATTAGAGGTGGTTTGATACCTAATCGTTTGAGCTTATTGATAAGACATGTATGGTTCACCTTATCAAAAGCTTTTGAGAAATCTAGGTAGATGATATCAACCTTCCCCTTGCGATCAAGGATGCTTGTCCATCTGTCCACCGCAGTGTTTTTGTACAGTTAAACAAACAAGTACGGTAGAACAATCCTTGGTACAAATGGTTATATTACTAATTGTTTCCATCACGCCAATCGAGTTCTCTTGATTAAAGTAGGTCACAACAGTACCTTACTATGATTTACCAATTTCTCTTTCTTCTTTTATCGTTTAAATATTAATGTTCCTGTCTGAAGGTACTGGTGACCCATTACTACTAGATACGGAAGCCTGTTAAGCGAAAGCTTCTTCTATTCCGTACACAACCATTTGAACCATTTGTGCCGTATCACGACGCGCGCTGACTAACACTTGCGCTACCTTCGTGATGAATATCTCTCACTGTGTGTTCTGGGTAGTTGTACTTCTGTGTGGACCTCTTGCTGGTCGAAAACACATCCTTAATCTAAAGGTTTCAAATATTTAATGCTTTACACGAATTTTAGAACGATGGTCGTAAGTCAGTCTTATGCAGTCATTTCGGGTTTGCAAAGGATTCATTTCTCTCTGTTTTTATCCAGAAACTGCAAGGTGATTTACAATATGTAAGTTTAGTTACCTCATGTGGTTTCCCACCTACGATGACACCGAATTTTCGTGGTTTCATTCTAGATGTAAATAAACTTTTGCAGTCGTCGTCAAAGCAAACTTGGCATATTTATATGTTGAAATTTCACATTCAGTGTGAATTTAGACATAATACTTGTGTGATCTTGGAGTATACTCTTAACTCTGCCACAAACTTGATCAGTATAGTTTACTGTCATACCTTTTGTTCTTCATCACTTCTCACTTTCGTGACCCAACACATGACAAATTCGGCCATTTCATCACTTTTTCTAGGTTTTTGTTGACAGTCAACCAAATTTTACTGATTATCAGCGTTCGTTTAAAACGTCGTTTTCGTGCATTGCTTTCAAAAGCTTTTGTTCATGTCGCGAATTTCAATTGTTTAAGTGCAAAATCTTAAAGTATATTCACTCACAGTGATGTGAAGCAGAATAAGTACACATAGTTCTATGTTTTTATGAGAAACCAGGTAATCGTAGTGTCTGGCTACACCCTCTGCCCCGACTGTAGCTGCTATCTTGACGCGGTGGTCGGGCTTGCCTATCGTGATGACCCAACCGAGCTATATTGGCTAGAACATACGTTTCTTTAGGTTCTACCATGCCAGGCAGGTCGATTGGAGAACGATAAGACTAAAAGCGCCAACCCAAGGTCTGAGGGCGAAGTCGTACTGCTGACTGTAGAGGGGTGTGACAGCAGTAAGGTGTTTCCCTCGGACGAACAGTATCTGCAGGAAGGGGTTAGAAAATTTTGACCCTTAAGATGTCACACTTCATCTCACCTCACGGATTTGTCTCCGGCGGTAAGGCCCTTTGAAGAACGGAGCTAAAACATTAAAAACCTCCAACGAAAAGGCCGTGCACCACTGGCCTCGAACAGTTGTCCCTTGGGTTCTGCGGTCACGCTCCCAGGTCGTTAAGTCCGACATTAATCCAACTTCTTTTTCAGGTTCATCAAGCAATACCCTTCCATGGTATTAGCAGTGAGATTATCTGAGGTTTTAGATAGAATCTGGGAACTGGACGTAATCCCATCTGACTGGTCTCAATCACTGATTGTGCCAGTCTATAAGAAAGGAAAAAGGTCCTCTCCTGACAATCACAGAAGAATCAGTTTGACTAATATAGTGTCTAAAATATTAGCTTCAATAATACTTCGACGCCTAACCAAAGCTCGTGAAGAGCAGACTAGAGAAAACCAGGCTGGCTTTCGACCTCAACGTGGTTGTATAGACCAGATATTCACACTACGTCAGGTCCCAGAACATAGACACAAATTCAGACGCCCCACAATCGTAGTATTTCTCGACCTTAAGGTGGCGTTTGACTCTGTTGATCGTGAGGTTCTATGGCATTGCTTGTCATTGGAAGGAGTACCGAAGAACTACATTAACCTTGTAAAGGCTGTCTACTCAAACTCAACTGGCCGAGTGAGAGTTGATTACCTCAAGTGGTGTTCGTCAGGGCTGTTCACTCTCTTCATTCTTGTTTAACTTTGTCGTTGACGTGCTTTTAGAGATAACACTTCCCTCATCCAAATTTCCAGGGGTTGAACTTCTACCAGGAGATTCACTTGTTGACTTGGAATATGCCGATGACATAGTTCTATTTGGTGAAGACGCTGACAAAATTCAGAGTCTTCTGACCACTCCAAGCAACAATGCGAGCATGTTCGGGATGCGATTCTCCCCCTCAAAATGCAAAATGTTGCTTCAGGATTGGGTTGCATCGACACCCGATCTAATGATAGGGAGTGAAGTAGTTGAGCGTGTCGACCGATTCACTTGTCTTGGAAGTCTCATCAGCCCTCGTGGTCTGGTGTTTGACGAAATCTCAGCACGGATACAGAAGGCTCGACTAACTTTTGCCAACTTGCGTCATTTATGGCGTAGGCAAGATATCCGTCTATCAACCAAAGGACGGTTTGCTGCACAGCAGTTCGTTCCGTCCTATTTTATGGCAGTGAAACATGGCCGGTAAGAGTAGAGGATATTCATAGGTTACTAGTATTTGATCATAGGTGTCTTCGAAACATTGCTCGTATATCCTGGGACTACCGAGTGAGTAATGTAGTTGTTAGGAAACGGGTACTAGGTAAGGATGGCAAATCAATTGATACGGCCGAGAGTGGGGAGAGTCCGCTCTCCCTCTCGAAATACTCTCACACGGCCGCGCGTATACAGCCTCTGCCAGGGAAGTCCTACTCATTGCCTTCTCGTGGCGGGGCTGTTGTTTACGAAAATGAGAGGACGAAAAGCGAATGTCCGGCGCTTTAACCGGATTGCAAACCAATGGTGCACATGGGCTCCAGTATCCTGCGGGAACAAATGGCGTATGAACCAATTGTTGGTCACGGGCTCCCGTGGGACTGCATCTCCTTACGATGCTCCACTGCCTAGTGGGTTAGACCTTTAGGTCAAAGGTTCGGGGAGTGGCCCCCTAAGATAACCACCTGCTTCGGTTTGGGCACCCGGGCAGTATCACAGCCCACAAACAAATGATGAACTCTCTTTGTCTATGGAAATTACTTTTCTCGCTTCGAAAAACAATCAATTGATTCAAATTATTATCATTACAATTATTGTCATTATTAATACTATTATTATTATTACTATTATCGTCATTATTATTATTATTATTATTATTATTATTTTACACATTATTCACCCTCTTTTATACTTTTACAGCGGCTCGTCTTTAGTGTAAATTCCACTGTATCTAAACGTCCTCGTGTCACTGTCCGGTTGAAAATTGTATGTTACCACCGAATATGAGTACTGAAGCAGTTTTTCTGAAACCATGTGCACCATTCAAACTGGCTGCCTTCAACGTTCGCACACTTATGCAGGTTGGACAACAGATAGAGCTGGCTATGTCTTTGGAAAGTCTTCATATCGTTGTCTGCTGTCTATCCGAGACCCATATTCAGGACTCTGGTGAAGTACTACAAATTCGCTCTACATCTGTCACTTCAAAAAGCTTGTTTTACATGCGCTTATCCGGAGACCCTGTGGCATCTTCGTCTGGTCTTTCTGGCGTTGGTGTCGCACTAAGCGCTAGAACTGAGGCAGCACTAGTCGATTGGATCCCCATTAACAGTCGGTTATATGCTGTTAGATTAGAAAGTTCCATCAAAGTGAGAAGAAATCGGCGTGAGAAACGATGTCTTTTCGTCATCTCCGTCTATGCCCCGACAGATTGCAGCCCGGATGCAATCAAGGATGTTTTACCACCAGTTATCTGTTCTTCTCCAGAAAGTGCGTTCGACAGATATTGTAATACTAGCCGGAGACTTGAATGCTTAGGTCGGGCGTCTAGGCACAGAAGAGAGTCGTTGAGGTGGCCGATGAGGACTCGTTGGTCGCAGGACAGATAACGGGGACCGTCTACTGCAACTGTGCACAGACCGCAACCTGTTTCTGGCTAGAACTAACCTCCGGCACAGTCATCGCCGATGTGCCACCTGGCGTCCTCCCTCTGCATCTCAAGCCTGGACTCAGATTGGTCACATTGCGATCAGCTACCGCTGGCGTGGTTGTGTACAAGACTGCCGCTCCTTTTGGAGTACCTATCTGGACTCTGACCATGCCTTGGTCTGCGACAATCTTGCCTTACTTTTCAGTGGCCAACGAAGTGACCACCATCAACGGATTGATATTAGCAAGCTGGTTGCAACTTCTGTTGCAAGTAAGTATCGAACCGAGCTAGCCTCTAGGCTAGCTACCACTCCACCGAAAAGTATAGATGAGCATTGGTTGCAACTTCATGACGCCATGAAAATGGCGGGTACAGTCAGTTGTGGGTTTGCGAAACGTCCCGCTTATAAGCACTGGGTTTCTGCAGGTTCCTTACAACTCACTGAAGCCCGTCGGTCTACTCCGGGTAACCGTGAGTTTGACCATAAACGAAGGGTGTTACGTAAGGAAATTGGGCAAAGCTTGCGTAAGGACCGAGAAGCCTGGTGGTCGAAGCGTGCTAATGAGCTGGAAGCAGCAGCTGCATCTGGTAACTACCGGAAGCTCTTCCAACTCATCCGAGCCACTGGCAGCAAGAAGTCTGATGTGAGTGAAACAATCTGCGAGGATGATGGGATGCCAATCACTAACATCCATCGACGTCTTGGACGATGGGCAGAATTTTTCGAAGGGCAGTTCAACTGGCCTGCTGCTCCGGCAACATCGGTCAGACTGTCCTGCCCTCCATGACCGGTGACGACTGATCCACCGAACGAAAAGGAAGTCCGCAAGGAACTCCAACTCTTGAGGCGTTACAAATCACCTGGCCCAGATGACTTACCTCCGGCTCTTTTTAATGATTGTGGTGACTTTTTGACTAAGGAATTGACGACGTTGTTTACAAAGGTTTGGGAACTAGAGAGTATACCAACGTCATGGAATGAGTCGATAGTTGTCCCTATCTTTAAAAAGGGTTCACGTCGTTCCTGTAACAACTATCGGGGGATAAGTCTACTTCCGATTGCGTCCAAGCTATTGGCTTCCGTCATACTTCGTAGGTTGTTCAAAACCCGAGAAAGATTGACTCGCGAGGAGCAGGCTGGGTTTTGTTCTGGTCGAGGATATATTGATCATATCTTCACCCTCCGCCAAATGTTAGAACATTGTCATACTTATCAAAAGCCAACAATCGTAGTGTTTCTTGACATCAAGGCTGCCTTCGATTCGTTGGACAGGACTGTTCTCTGGGATTGTCTATTGAAGAAGGGTGTGCCTGAGAAGTTTATTAACATCCTAAAAGCCCTATATACAAACACCTCAGGCAGAGTGAGGGCATACAACCACCTCTCTCCATTGTTCCATTCGAGCAGTGGGGTTAGGCAGGGTTACCCAATCTCACCATTCCTCTTCAACTTTGCCATCGATGACATTCTGGAAACAGCTCTGATGAATGTAAGTAATGGTGGTGTGGATCTGTTGCCTGGAGAAAGACTTCTCGACCTTGAGTATGCGGACGATATTGTCTTACTGTGCGATACTGCCCAAGGCATACAATCCGCACTTAATCAGTTGGCAATCAGTGTCCGTAGGTATGGTATGTGCTTTGTACCTTCGAAGTGCAAAGTACTTTTACAAGACTGGCAGGATTCCAATCCTGTACTCACCCTGGATGGTGAGCAGATAGACGTAGTTGAGAAGTTCGTGTATCTGGGTAGCTGCATAAGGGCTGGTGGGGGTGTGAGTGATGAGATCAATGCACGTATAGTGAAAGCCAGAGCGGCTTATGCCAATCTGGGCCACCTTTGGCGCCTTCGTGATGTTAGTCTGGCTGTAAAAGGTCGGATCTACAACGCGTCGGTGAGAGCAGTTTTGCTCTATGCTTGTGAAACCTGGTCTCTCCGAGTTGAGGACGTTAGACGACTCTCTGTGTTCGATCATCGCTGTCTCCGAAGGATTGCTGACATCCAGTGGCAACACCATGTCAGTAATACAGAGGTTCGGCATCGTGTGTTCGGGCACAGAGATGATAATTCGATTGGTGTCACCATCTTGAAACACCTACTTCGGTGGCTTGGACATGTTCTCCGAATGTCGTCCCAGAGAATTCCACGTCGTTCATTATTTGCCGACTCTCGGACTGGTTGGAAGAAGCGGAGAGGTGGTCAGTGCATGACATGGTGTCGTGGTATGAAAGAAAGCTGCAAAGGACTGGCTTGTGTCGGTCCTTCACGACTCCCTGGTTGGGGTCTGAGAGATGGTGCTACACAGTGGCTAGAGACGTTATCAGATATGGCTCAGAATAGAAGCCAATGGCGATCGTGCTGTAACCTTCTTTTACTTCATAAAAAGTGGTTGTGTCTCCCTTTTCTGAAAGATTTCTTCCGATTGTACCTTTCCGTTCCCTCATTTCTACCATACTACCTTACACCAATCTCTTCGTTATTGTTCTATTTTTTTGCGCTCCTTAGCTTTTTTTTCTATTTTTCTTCGAATTCTCATTGTTTTGTGTGGCACATATATATTGGCGCTCTCATGTACCAATATTCATGTGTTCAAATAAATTAATACACATGTTTTCCCATTATTTTGTTTGAATTTCTTGAGGCAACAGGGCTTTTAACATTTCTTTGATAAGTACGTCTAAGTATTTATCAAAATAAAAATAATGAATTCGATTTTTTGTCTAATGACATGTAATCTATTTTACTTTACAGATAACTTTTACTCTGGATAAGGCTGGGGATTCTGGAGTAACGTCACTTACTGTACGTCGAACTTCATTAATCTACTTACTCATCTTCTATAGGAATCCAAGTCAAATTCTTGTTTTTGGGATAAGTCATTTAAATTTATTTATCTCTCATTTGACAAATCATCCAAGTTAGCGGTTTGATGGTAATATTCTGACCTCTTTGCTTAAATAGATCACTGGTGATACATAATTATGATCCAAATTATAAAGGTGTAATTTTTGAAGCCTCTTCTTTAGAAATGGAAGAGGATGGTCAACCTGATATCAAACCCATAGGTTTGATTGACAATATTCAATACGCTCTTACCTGTTTGCGGTTGGTTACTGACCAAAGCCTTTCGTTGGCTAAAGCAATAAATGCCGTAAGTTTCTTATAGAATTGCATTATATATATATTGTAAAGCTGCATAATGACCAATTAATGTAATTCCTCATTGCTTATAAATAATTCTAACTTGAATCAACCCAACAAACTGAACATCTACCTCAACATTTGCTTATCTAACTGAAGAGATTAAATTTGTCAAAGATGATAAACAAAATATCCTACACTTTGATCGCTCACATTACTACTTAGCAGACATCGTAAACCCGAATCCCTGTACAGAATATGTCATAATGTCTGTTAGATGTCGATTTGAAAATCTGCTAGATAAAAGTTATTTACACATCCACTATTTCGTTATTCATTGACCAGTTACCTATTGTAAACAGTGTTAATCGTAAACTTTTTTCCAAATGTAATGAATGTCTTATACGCTTATTTCTTATTCTTTGTTTAATTCTTTCAGATAATATTATCTGAACCGAAACTTATAGAAAAAGTCAAATTTATGAATGTATTGGAACTTCATCGACAACAGTATCTTGTCTATCAACTTCTACGTGAAGTTGCTGAATACTCACAAAATACTAAGGATGAAGAGCAACAATTCCCAGGTCGTAAAGCTAAAAATCACATTGAACCAAGTGATGATTCACAGTTGCAAAAAGTTTTCGAAATCATCTTATCTCAAATTACTCCTTTTGGTAAGTTTATTTGTCTGTACGAAAATGGTTTGTTGTTTTTCACATAAAAGCTTCTGAGTAATACCCTGTCAGGACAAACTATTCTAAGTGCTCCCTATCTGTAAAACTTGACTCTCAAAGGTAGTAGACATTCATAGGTTACTACTTCTATGAATTTGGTATTCATCTTGTGCCAATGAGGTGTGGCAACTTGCTCCGATGTATATATGTGCCTAGTCCTACGTTGTAGCTGACTGAGTATTTGAGTATAATTCCATTCAAAATTGATTGTGTTATTTGGGATCACCGAATGGGCAATGTTGAGATTAGATTCAGGATACTAGACAAATAAATTAGTTGACAATATTTTAAATATTTGACTAAAGTGATTGAAACTCACATCATATGTGGACAACCACTACTTACCTCGACGCGCATTGTTTGGTGACTTAGATATGGATTGGAAGAAAACTAGGCTCTGCCAAACGAAGTGTGACACCAGTTCATGAAGTCATTCGCCGTTAGTACAACATGTTGTTACGTACAGGCTACCTGCTTGGGGTCTCCGCGTTTATCGTAAATAGTGGTTAGAGACATTAGGTGACATGGTTCAGAATCGGTCTCAATGGCCTAAATGCACTCATTTGTCTTCTCTTACATTCATACTTTCTATCCTTCAAACCTATCCCTTCTTTTGGAACCAACTTTTCCATTGTTTTATCTTTCTTATTATCATTGATACTTCTACTTTTGCGACTTTGGTATTTCTCGTGTTAATGTCATCTCGCTTTACTGATATAGTATGGCAATTTGTACCAGGTTTACATCGACTTACTAGTTCTCAGTGGGTATTTAGATAAAGCTAGTCCGTGCTGTAAACTAAATCCACTGAAGTGTCGGTTATCAAAACTAGTACAATTGAGAATTAATTTGAGTTTATTTTATGTTTCCTAAAGTAAAGTTATTTTATTTCAGTTGTTAGAGAAAATTAATGTACAATGAATCTTTCTGAAGTTTATAAAGTATTGTCGGTTGGGTTGCACTGGAATAGTAACGTAAAATTATGTTGGGGATGTTAGATTCCCAGAACTCACTTGGTAAATGCCTTAATTTTATAATATTTTGGAAATTTTAATTTCCTCGTTTTCGCACCAAAAGCGCACTTTTCACCTTCATGTCGTATTTCCCACTTGGGAGAATCTTTAACGCTATTGGTCCGTTGTGCATTTTTAGTATGCTATTTCCAAGGACAGTTTTATGCTGTATATATACGTTTGTTTTGAGATGGTGGAGAAGATTTGTAGCTCAGGTATATATATATATATACGTTTGTATCGTGTCTGTTATTATTCACTCGTGCTTCTGGCTTACGGAATATACTTTCCCGTTCCAAGCTTGGACTTCTTCCTCTAGTTAGCGGGGCTGGGAGGCATCAGATAGCTAGCTTATTGGTTTGCGGTCACAAGTCTTTGTCTCGTTCGCATACTAAGTGAACTCGTAATAGCTTCAAACCTAGCAAATTTGGCTATAGTGGTTTCGGAAATATGGATCCTTCTAAGCTTGAATTATTACTCGAGCAGCAGTTGAAACTAATGCAAATGTTGACAGACATCAAGATTTCGCCTCTCACACAGCCTAGCACATCTAATGCAACCACAGCACCTTCAGTAGACGGCATCGCAAATAGCATTGCTGAGTTTCATTATGATCCTGATGCCAACGTTACTTTTGACATGTGGTTCCTTCGTTATGAAGACCTATTTAAATTTGATTTTGCTAGCCAAGATGATGCTTGGAAGGTTCGGCTGTTACTTCTGAAGTTGAGTCCTAGTGAACTAGACAGGTATTGCAACCTAATTCTGCTTCTAAACCCACGCGATCGCTCGTTCTCGGATACTGTCCAGTCATTGAGCCAACAATACGGAGACAACTCACTATTCAATGCGCGCTATCGATGTTTGAAGCTCACTATGAACGGAAATGCTGATCTTCTCACACATGTGGGTATCGTCAATCGAGAATGTGAACGCTTCCAGTTGAAGTCGCTTACTGAAGACCAATTTAAAACCCTCATTCTTATCTGCAGCCTTCAATCTCAGAAGTTCAGTGACATTAGAACACACTTGCTAAGTCGATTGGACCAAGACCCAAAACTAGCTCTTAATGATATTGCAAACGAATATCAACATCTAATCAATCTGCAGCGTGACACTACGACGGTCCAGCGTGGTGGTTCAGATCATACCGAAGTTCATGTAGTCCAACAACCACCCAACCCGCATAAATCTGCCCCAGCGACATCTAGTTCAGGTCAACAGAGAAAAATAAATCCTCCTGCCCCATGTTGGCACTGCGGTGCACGGCATTTTGTTCAAGGCTGTCCATATAAACAACATCAGTGCAGGAAATATAAAGCTGTGGGTCATAAAGATGGCTTTTGTCAAAAAAAGGAGCCGGACAGCTCCAGGGGTACCAAAAAGCCTGTCCCTAGATCTGGCACAAATTCGTTGAGTCTAGTAGCAACCTGTCAGAACTCAACCCCAGGTGAGAGGAAAGTTATTACCCTTAATATTAATGGGCATCCGTTTAGATTGCAAATAGACACTGCATCTGACGTAAAAATTCTCTCACGAAAATATTGGACCAGAATGGGAAAACCACTCACGGTGCCAACGACACAAAAACCTCGTACTGCGTGCGGTAATTATCTACGTTTGTTGGGACTAGATTGTAAAGTTTCTTTTCACGACTCGACGTTTACCGGGGTATGTTACATCACACTAGCTGATCTTAATCTACTTGGTTTAGACTGGTTTGACCGGCTACATTTAAATGACGTTCCGTTAAGCACCGTATGCAATCTGGTGAAACAACCTCATGAACATGAAGCATATTCGAAAGAACTAATGACGGATTTTTCAACCATTTTCCAGCCTGTATCGGGTAAGTGCACTGCTATGAAAGCAACATATCGGTTAAAACCTTGGGCTAAACTTGTCTTTCGTCCAAAGAGACCAGTGCCGTACTCGTCATTATCGAAAGTTGACAAAGAACTAAATAGCCTTCAACTACAGGGAGTTATTACACCTGTTTCTTATTCTGCTCGGGAAACACCCATTGTAGTTAAGAAGGCTAATGACACAATCCGAATATGCGCAAATTTTTCCACAGGTCTTAACGCAGCTCTCGAACAGCATCATTACCCACTGCCAGTCCCGGCAGATTTGTTCACGATGTTAAATGGTGGGAAGTTCTTTGCGAAGCTGGATGTCGCTGATGCCTACCTACAAGTGGAAGTGGTTGAAGATTCGAAAGAGTTACTTACCATAAATACTCATGGTGGCTTGTTTCAGTACAATCACCTACCATTTGGTGTTAAAACAACTCCATCTATTTTTCAGCAACTAGTGGATATCATTCTATCGGGTCTCCCGTGTGTCGCAACTTATCTCGATGAAATCTTAATTGTTGCCACATCGTTAGAACGGCTTCAAGAACTCACGACAGCGGTGCTACAACGCGTCAGCGATAACGGATTCCGATTACGCCCAGAAAAATGCCAGCTTTTCTTGAAGTCAGTAAAATACTTGGGATTCATCTGTGATGCCGCAGGTCGCAGACCAGATCCTGAAAACATCCGAGCTATAAAGCTGATGCCGACTTCCACTAATATCTCTGAGCTACGACCATTCCTGGGATTAGTTACCTGCTACTCAGCGTTTGTTCCGTCGATGCATGACATACGCCCCGCTAAATCACATTCTGGATAAGAATACCAGCTGGAACCGGAAAAAAGAATGTGAAGCTGCATTTTGCAAGCTGAAAACAATCATAAACTCTGAACTATTACTGGCACACTACGATCCGTCCATGCCTATCATTGTCGCTGCAGATGCTTCAGCTTTTGGACTCGGTGCTGTCATCTCACACCAGTCCCCGGACACAACAGAAAAAGCTATTATGCATGCATCTCGCACATTAACTTCAGCGGAAATAAAGTACAGTCACATTGAGAAAGAGGCTCTCGTCTTGTGTTTGCAGTACGCCCTTTCCACAAATTCTCGTACGGTCGAAGTTTTACTCTTCTCACTGATCACAAGCCTCTTCTTACAATTTTCGGTTCGAAATCTGGTGTTCCAGCCCATTCTGCAAACCGTCTCCAGCAATGGGCTTTGATACTTTTGGGTTATAATTTTGACATTCAGTACCGGTGCATCCAACAGTTTGGTCAGGTTGACGCCTTGTCACGACTTATCAGCGAACATCATACGGCCGACGAAGATGCAGTTATCGCCTCCCTAATGACAGAGGACCACGCGCTATGTTACCTGACAACCGCTATTCGTGCTTTGCTAGTCTCAGCAGCTGGAATACAATCTATATCCAAGAACGACTCCATCATAAAGAGAGCGGTGAAATACGTCACCAATGGCTGGCCGTCAACTGGACCCGATGGTGACTTGAAGCAGATTTACCACCGTCGGGACTCATTATGCGTCGTCAATGAGTGCCTGATGTTTGGAGATAGAGTAGTGGTACCAGAGTCCCTAAGATCAAGGGTGCTAAAGCAGTTCCACACTGGTCATCATGGTGTAAAACGAATGAAATCCATCGCCAGAAGCTATGCTTATTGGCCCCTTATGGACCAACACATCATGGATTTAGTAGGCGAATGCACGCAATGTCAGCAAGGGGCGAAATGTAATGAGAAAGTGACGCCGGTCCCATGGCCACGGCCTGAGTATCCCGGGTTCAGGATACATGTCTGTTTTGCTGGTCCAATCAATCGGACTACCTATCTAGTTGTAGTTGACGCCTTTTCGAAATGGCCAGGAATTGTCCCGATTATGCCACCGACGAATACCAAAAGGATACAACTCTTGTCGGAGATGTTCGCTCGCAACGGTTTACCGGATGTAATTGTTTCAGATAACGATTCTCAGTTCACCTCAACACAGTTCCAAGATTTCTGCCAACGGTTATCCGTCAAGCATCTCCGCTCTCCACCCTACCACCCGCAACCAAACTGCCAAGCAGAAAGATTTGTGGATACATTTAAGAGAGCTCTAATCAAGTTGAAAGGGGAAACACTGCAAAACTTCTTATTCGTTTACAGAACGACACCTAGTGATGTATTACCCGAGCAGAAGTCCCCAGAAGAAATCCTGATGGGAAGAAAATTGAGGACGGTCCACAATCTGACGCTTGCGAAAACCACACTATCGCCATCACCGACCAAGTCACAGAAGCTGCCAACATACGAGTTTGGGTGTTCGGTGTTCGCTCGGGACTACAGACCAAATCATGGTCCCTGGAGGTCACATTGCGGAGGTGTTATTTTGTAATCCTCTCTTTTGCTATTAATATCGCAATATTTTATTCAAAAATCATGTTTTCATTATTTTCAGGAGTTGGAATTTTGAATGAAACTACTGTAGTTGCTATTCGGTCGCTTTCTTAACTATTGTTTCAAGGGAGAGAGAGAAAGAAAGAGTTTAGACTAAGAGCAGACTTCATACTTTCCAAACGAATAAAAAAACTTAATGGTTTAAACATTTGTCTTCAGTTATCAGGTCACTCTTAAGCTTGTGCAGTCTGATCATGTTAATAATGATCAAATATTATTCTATATGTTTATTAACTTGTTTATTCCGATTGCAATCTATGATTATACCCACTGGATTATTTCATAGACTGCACCACACTTCTGTAGACTATAATTTATCTAACCTTACTTTGCTTGGCATATGTTTTCGTTGGGTTGCTTAATCCAAAAATGTGCGAGAAGAAATATTTTTTTGTGTAAACTGCTAATTCATAAGTTTCAGCGAACTTTCATAACGTTCGATTATTTAAAAAGTAAAGGAAGATATTCAGCCATTCAGAAATGTAAAATATTCGTCTAAAACACTGTATTCGAAACCATTTGAAACCGTTTGAAAGGATTACCAACACAAAGCATTAATAATTGGGCTAATCTTGCAAAATTGTAACGAATATGTGATAGATCATTTGTTTTAATGAGATTGCGAGAAGTAATACTGTCCTCATTCTATTTCTTTAAAAGGTTCATTACAGCGGATTCCGTACGAAATGAAAGACAATGTCATAAGTGCTAATGTGAGTGATCTTTTTTTAGAAAAATATAAATTTTTGTTATCCTATTCTAGCTGACAAGTGTTTGGGAACTCCTTGTGTATTTGAGTGGTTTTATTCATTTATCAAAGTCAAATATTTAAATGGACATATCATCGATGCCTAGAAATCTTAGCTCATAAGAATTAATCATAATTCTCAGTATAGGGTTTTAGATATTGTTAAGTTTTATTTGAGATCATGAACCGATCAATGTTAGACCACCATTGAAAACGTGGAAGCACAGGATGGCTGATTCACCCTAGTCTCGGACTCCCCAGCAGTGCGCATCCATGATCCTGCATGCGAGATTCGAACCCAGAACCTTTGATCTCTCAAACCTCAACAATATCCACAACCATATACTAATAATTATCATGTGCTCACTAGTGACTAGTTTCGAGAAGTAATTCTCGGAGTTCTGGTGAGAAGCCATGACCAGTGGAGTTCAACCGTATCAATTGTGAGGCAGTTACCCACCGAAGACAATGGAAGATGGTTGCGCAATATCGTGGATTAATTGAAGTTAGACACTAACACCGTTGGATGTTGTCTCTTAGGTCTAGAGGTTAAGTGTTCACGCGCGAAACCGAAGGCCCTGGGTTCGAATCCCGCGAGCGGGATCGTGGATGTGCACTGGCGTGGAATTCCAGATTAGGACGAAACGGCCATCCTGTGCTTCCAGGTTTTCAATGGTGGTGTAACACTGATCAGTTCATGATCTCAATTAATCATAATTTACTGCTTTACTACTCACTCCACCGCTAGGACTGTGAAGTAGTTTATATATAATCTTCATATTAATTAATATGATTCGAAGCATATGTTTATTTAATAAGTATCGGTTTTTCATATGACAAAAAAATTGTTTTATTTTCTTGAGCATTTAGTTTCATATTATTATTATTATTCTTTTCTTCTTCTTCTTCTTGCTATTATTATTATTATTATTATTATTATTATTATTATTATTATTATTATCCTACGATAAGCAGTGGAAGTATTCGGAACTCATGGATATCATATATACTTGCACTATTATGTTAACGGTTTTAACCTTTTAAGCTATTCAATCAACTTCAAATGTTATCATTTTTATATTAGCTTATTGAGCCGAGATACTCCAAGAAAGTTGAGAGTATCTGATATGAATTTCTTAAGTTCATATTATAATCATCGTAATATTTTTGAATGTATTCACCTTGTAATATATGTTCGCAGTAGTAACTTTTTTTCCTTGTTTAGTTTACAGTTCGTTTCTTGAATACATCTGAAGAAGGCTTATATCATCTGTACTTTCATAATTGTGCTGAATTAAATGTAGAATCTGGTAAACGTCATTCAGTTAACTTAACAGTAAGTTTTGACTTTGTTGAAGATGATGATGCGATCTATGCATTAAGCAGAGACTCGTGCACTAGGGCTAGTGAAATACCGTTTGTGTGAGAGACAGTGTTATTAATCGACTGCCTAAACTGAAGTAGATGTGACGGGGCTCAAACTTCAGTCAGTCAGTCAGTCAGTCAGCTACAACGTAGGACCAGGCACATATATGCATCGGTCCAAGTGCCATACCTCATTAACACGACAAGATGGACACCGGATTCATAAAAGTAGTTAATTCAGAGGTGGTAATATATAAAAGAAAGATAGCAATAAGGATATAGTGCAGGAAAGAAGAATTAGTTCGTAGAAAGAAAAATTTGAAGCGATTTTAATCTCTTAGTTTAAGGGAAGACAGAGTGTATACATCGACGCCATTGTGATAGATTCTGAGCCATGTCACCAAGAGTCTCCAACCATTGGTTACGGTAGTTTGCATCTACCAACATGGCTCAGACTAGAAGTTAGTGACTTCAAGCACTGATGCCACGTTTTGGTTTGGCCGCCCCTAACTTTCTTCCAACCATCTCCAATACAGGTTAGCGTTGCACGTCGTAGTAATCGGTGTTCAGACATACGTAACACGTGACCCAACCATCTCAGTCGATGAAGATTTACAACCTCATCAACTGATTTACCATCATTCCCTAATACCCTGCGTCTAACCTCACTATTACTTACACAGTGATGCCAGCAATATTTCTAAGGCATCTGTGGTCAAATACTAGTAGCTTATGAGTATCTTCTACTCTTAATGGCCATGTTTCGCTGCCGTAAATTAAAACAAAACGAACTGCCGCGCACTATACTCGTCCTTTTATTGATAGACGGATATCTCGTCTTCGCCATAGGTGGCGTAAGTTGGCAAAAGCCAAACGAGCTTTTCGAATCCGTGCTGAGATTTCGTCAGACACCAACCCATTAGGGCTAATCAGACTCCCAAGATAGGTGAAGTTATCAACGCGTTCGACTACTTCACTCCCTATCCTTAGTTCAGGTGTTGACGCAGTCCAGTCCTGAAGCAACAACTTGCATTTAGAGGGAGAAAAGCGCATTCCAAACATTCTGGCATTGTTGCTTAGTGCTACCAAAAGACTCTGCATTTTGTCAGCGTCTTCACCAAACAGGACCATGTCATCTGCGTATTCTAAGTCGATAAGTGGGCCTCCTGGAAGGAGATCAATACCCGAAAATTCAGTCGATGAGAATGTTATTTCCATCAGTAGGTCTATGATGAAGTTAAACAAAAATGGAGAAAGTGGACAGCCTTGACGGATACCACTTGAGGCTGCAAAAGTAGATGACCGTTCGCCATAAGCTCTGACTCGACTGGTAGTGTCCGAGTAAAGAGCCTTCACAAGGTTTATGTACTTCTGAGGCACTCCTTTCAATGATAGACACTGCCACAGAATTTCGCGGTCTACCGAGTCAAATGCTGCTTTTAAGTCAAGAAAGACCACCATTATCGGACGCCGATAAGTATGTCTGTGTTCTAGAACCTGACTCGAACGTGCAATCTGTTAGTTGGAAGTCAAGTGCTTCAATCACTGTGATCATTTTTCTAATTTGCTGTGTATAATATAAAAAGCTCTTTTAATAGAGTTTTTTAAATAATTTTTGATCATTTTAAATGCAATTCTACTCAGTAACGTTCCTTGATTATGCACTTAAGTGGTATTTGAAAAGTCAAATTCTCTATATTCTCATTGATTGTGATTACATGTTCTGTTCGGTGGTAGTTGCGACTTAGTGCGCAATACGTCTTAACTGTTTGTTAAGCGATAAGATGTAAATTTCTTATGCCGCAGGTAGCATAAGGTGATAAATCCAAATACGGGTTTCATTTCTGCGCATGTGTTCTCATGAAAGAAATATGACTCACAAAATAGGTATAATGGTGAATACATTTAATAAACTCATTCATTATTTTCAAGCTAAGCATGCAACTTGATTGACTTTGAAGTAACACTTTACACTTGGAAGATGGAAAATCCGTTCGAAACATCAAAATCACTATCATTCTATGTTGGTTAATACCATATGAATTGCATTTTATGAAGTGTAAAACCAGCAGATTTCATCTTTTAAATAACGAAATATTAGGTTAGTTTGTGTCATTTACTTGAACTAATTACAACGAAACTTTAATGCTTACTCCGTAAGTATTTAAATTAATTTTCAGGAAGAATATATACATTCACCTATGTAACTGGTTCGCCAATGTGAATGATATGACTCTCATGAAAAGGGATGTTTCCTCTGTTTCTAAAATTGATTTTGTTTGCATAAATTTAGTAACAATATGTTTTATTTTCATGATTTAGTTTCTGTTTTGTATCTCTGTAGTTAAAAATGGTTGAGAAGAATGTAAACAGTTATTTATCTGCTGGTCAACAACCATTGCCTATGCTTTATGCAATTTCGTGTTTGGCTTATTTGTTCCTTAGTATTTTCTGGTTTGTTTACCTTCGCAAATCAAAGTAAGCACTGGTTTCTTCCTGTTTTCTGTAATAAAATCTGCTTACAAAAATAATATTGAAATTGATCTTAAGCAGTAATTTTTTGAATTAACAAACTTTAACCAATTGACCTATTATTACATGGGATTTTGTCACACCACCAAGAATTAGATGCAGTTTTTCTCAGATTAGTCAACAAAATCAATTTAATGTTTTGTACACAAACTTCCGGATTAATTTTAAAATTTATGTACACAAAAAGGTGGCTGTAGCGTCACTTATTTCTGTCCATTATTCTATTGTACAGTTTTTGTTAATAGCTATGTAATTAAATGATAAGATCTGAATTCGATAAAGTATGATTTTGTAAGTAATCCTTATCCTGCTATGAATCAAGAAATGTTTGTAGTTTCGGTTAATGCAAATTGAAAACTTTCACAGTTTTAAGCTTGTCTTATTTCTTATCATTACAATATATTTTCTAATGTGATCTACTGACAGAAATGAATAGTTAATTTTGTTGTTGCTTTCATTGTAGCTCATCATTTTCATTACTAATTAATCTTAGCATCTTGAACCGATGCTTTATTTTCAACATAAACAATAGCTTTATTTCCTTAATAGAGATCTTTTGTCATTGATTTTGTTCTCTAAAGTTCATTCAATTTTAATCTGATAATCGTTTTCACCAATAAATTATCAATCTAGCTATTTATTATCTTATAATCCCATGAATTTCCTCAGTTAATCATTGTTTAATCAGGATATATACATGTTTATCTATCGTAGAGTAAATAATCTAAGTATCTCTTAATTCAGAAAAGAAATCTTGATTTATCCAATAATAATTCAACCCAATAAAATGATTTCATGGGACTTTTTCCCTTTTCACTTACACCTTCTGTCTACTTGTTATTTAATTTATTTTTTGTTTGTTTAGAAATTCGGTTTATCGAATTCATTATCTCATGTTAGCAGTTACTGTTGTCAAATCAATTTCACTTGGCTTTCATAGTGTAAGTTATAAAACAAACGAGTATGTATTCCTAATCTATTTTGTTTTTTAAATTTTTTTTATTTAGAATAAACTTACTTTTTTTTCAAGGGACAGTTTAACATGTTTATTGTACATTTGTTTTTTTTTTAGTTTTAACTAGAGATATTGCTTGTTGACATTTGAACACGAAATTCTTTTGATCGTTAACCTTCATTTTAGATGTGGTTTATAGCATATTTATGATAAAAATAATTCTGTTGATGTGAAGAAGCAAGTCCAATCAATGAAAGTTAGACACCTAAGCCACTAACCCCAGATCACTAAGTATGACTCCGACGACACATGTAAAATCCTCTTTCTTTTCTTACCTATGAGTGATTTATAAATTTATCCAATGAATATAAAAAATTCCATTTCTTAATTTTCTCCCAATATATTCTCTACGTTCTATGCACTAGAAAACAAATTTAAGCTACAGTATGTCTAAAAGACATTTTACAAAATGTTATATCATTAGTTTATGGAATGGAACTCATTAAATCCATAATGCTTACATAACCATAATCGCTTAACATAAGATCATTAGCACTAGTTTTTTATCAATAACAATCTGTTTTATCACTGTTTACCACTTTTTAGAAAATGATTATTTGTTTTATTTGTAACTGATAATGAAATGCTGTTATTATTATTGTTTCTTTTATTTAATTTTAGGTAAATTATTATGTGATTGGGAAACACGGTGCTCATGAAGAAAGTTGGGCTGTTATGTATTATATTACTCATATGTATGTGTGTTTATTTTTGTGTAATTATTTATATTACCAGTGTAAAACTTTTTCAAAAAAATTTTTTTGTTTCCCCTTAAAAAACAAAAAACTGTTGTCTTCCACACTATAGAAGTTATTCCAAGCAGTTATTGGTAACTTCACTGATCTACTATTAATCAGTCATTTAACTAAAAGTTGATTGATCCTATCTTGTCTGTTGTGACTAATTGGTTTGCCAGTATTTACAACTCTTATGCAGCAATTCTGATTTACAAGGCATTATGCAAAACTTTTCTGAGTAGTGAGCATTTTGTTGGTTAGGATTAATTACCTATCGAATTTACGGTTAATTAATATATTAGAGAATATTTTGAATTTTCTAATTCAGTAAAACAATGTCACTCAACATTGTTTAATTCTTTACTATAAATTACAGTGTGAATAGTAGGAAGTTATTCTGCATTTTTATAATAAATGTGTTTTAAATTGATCGTTGTTATAGTCCGGATTGGTTTGTAAGAATAATATGATAGTCCCGTAATGCAAAGACCATTGCCACTTAATTTCATTTTTATTCAGTAGTTAGCCAAAACTTTAGCTATAGTCATTTAATTGCCTGCACCATCAACATATTGTACCTTTTTTAGGAAAAAAACTAAGAACAGATTTCATTGCTGAAGTATTACCATTTGGTTCTTCATTTACAAACACATTTTTCTTGATGTTTTGTATAATTTCACCCAAAAATAAGTTATTACTTAAATTGTATATTTTCTTATATTGAGTAAGAAAAAGGCCATAACATGAGTATTCATGTTTGAGTGACAGAATCCTGATTGCATTCATTGAATTTCATTGATCAATTTGAGTAACATGGGATCAACAATGACCTTTAAGGTAGAGTGAATTTGTTTTGTTTACCCGACTTCTTATCAACTGACCATGATAGATCTAACTTTAAAAAATGGTAAAAATCGAGAAAAGAGTATCGATTAGACTTAATACAATTGTGGATCAATCCCGGTTATAGAAATTCGAATCAACAGAACAAAAGGCAGAGTGAAACAATGCGTATATTAAAAAAAATAGTAATAAAATAAATGATTTCAACAGTACAGAAGTTAAAGTATCAAAGAAAATCAGTAAATAAATGCTAAGCTTTTTAATGAAATAGTTTGTTCAACATATAAAGGCATACAGAGAATGTTGAACCTGGGACATGTGCCACACTTCACATCAGGAGAGGAAGTTATCTAGATGAGTAACGAAAAAATGTAAAAAAAAAGAAAGAGAGGTGAACGTTTTTGGTCAATAAAATGTGTAGGATAACAGTGTAAGAATGAATACATATACTCTCACTGGACAAATTCTGAAGCAAACATCACGTAAATATTTCAAGCATCACTTCAAATGACCTCACAAACAACAACTAAAACTCCTGTACCTTTCTACGTGATTAAAGTTAGTGGTTACTTACTTCATGAGCCAATATCGTACACTGATGTTTCACAAAGTTGAATGAATAAAGCATTAGTGGCTCTGAAGAGAGATTACACCCTTCTTGAACCCCATCCGACGTAGTTATTTCACACTGTATATAGGCAAGTAGAATTGTAAGATTATATTTTAAATCATTAGTAATTAGTGTGGAATACAGACAGAGAAGATAAGTGGAAAAGATGTGGATACTAATTATTGGGTTGTATATTCCTTAAAAAACAATCAAATATCATACAATTTAAACCGATTTAACTGAGATCTATTCATATAACTACATTGAGTCATCTTGAATTATTGGTTGATATTATATGATTATATATGTTCACATGGCCTTATCCGTTTTTAACGTATTTTAATTAATACTGAGTGGGTTGGAGATTGATGGTCGGCGGTCTATGCTCCACTGGGAGTAACAGGGGTAAGTATATAAATAACTAATACTGTATGTTTTTCTTTTTCGCTGATCCTTAGGTTATGGTAGTTATCGGTTATTGTTGTTTTTTAATTTTAGTATTCGAGGTGCACTTCTATTTATCACTATATTACTGATTGGTGCTGGTTGGGCCTTTATCAAACATATGTTAACACCGCGTGAACGTAATGTGTTCTTGATTGTAGTACCTCTTCAAGTGAGTTTGTTGGTGCGAAATTGTTTTCAAGAGGAATAATTTTTTTACACATGTATGTTGTATGAAATTCATCTCCGAATTTCCATTATTAACACATTACGCTTAGTTCTCTTGTGTGAACGTAATAGTGCATCGATTCGCGTTACTACACCCTGAGGTAATATATCATCATGACAAAGTGCAACACAGTTTATCAAGTATCTGTTATATTGCGCTAATTAATTTTAATTAAGACCCCTGCCTGATCGTCTCGAACACAAACCTGCAAGCATCTTTTTGTGTGAGAGCCTTTTTTCATCTTTCAAGACTTTAGGAATCCACTGACAGCATCAGCTCCCATAGTGAGTGTGGCCTATAGCTTGGTAAATAAATCTGTTTGTGACTGCCTTTCTGTATTAGCTAGTATTAGAAGATGTTATTAGTTATTTCATTATTATTTCAAACACTTATAATTAATGTCGAAGAAAATTTGTTTTTGTTTCTGAACGTTTCTTGCTTATAAAAATGTGTTTCTTATTGTGTAGAATATCTAGGTACATATGTATGTTTTGTTTTGGTGTTTTTACTAACAATGAGGAAATCATTGGATAGATCAATTTAAGTTTATTGAAAATTAAGTCAACTATTGGGAATCAGAGATATTGTGCAACTATTTTTTAATGCAATTAGTGTGTAGTTGGATCACATACAACATATTTGAAGATTGCTAATCACGATTTATTATTAGAACTCCAAATTAGTTACTAGTGAGTACATGATTATTATTAGTGCGAGGAGCCCGTAGAGATTGCTGAATTTTGTAGTTTATATCACGAACTGACTTTACTTTAATAACCATTGAAAAACAGAAAATATCGAACAGTCGTTTCGTTTTAGTTTGGGGCTCCTAAACAGTGTTCATTCTTGACCTCACCAAGAATGGTCGCAAAGTGATTCAAGTTTGAAATGCAAACTGTAGTGTCAGTTACCATGTTAAGCCCATTTAACTTATTCTAGCTTCTTGACAGGCCAATTTATCCATTATTCTTGAGTCACGTTTTGACCTTGTTAATTATTCACTTACCAACCCTGACTTTTCATATGAGCATGTGCGCGTACATGTCTTTTCCAATGTTTTAACCTTTTAAAAATTTCTCATTTAAATCTACCTACTCCTTCATTATCTTCATTTTTTTGCATAGGTTTTAGCCAATATTGCTACTATAGTTATTGAAGAGTCTGAAGCTGGTGCAGCTCGTTATGCTACATGGAAAGAAATTTTCATTTTTGTCGATTTAGCATGTTGTGGAGCAATTTTATTCCCTGTTGTCTGGTCTATTAGACTTTTAAAAGCAGCTTCTCAAACAGATGGTAAAGCAGCTATAAATCTGCGTAATCTACGGTTATTCCGTCATTTCTACATTCTGGTAAATTCGAATGTCTTTTCACTTACTGATAGTCATGAAATGTTTAAGTTACAAATTTCATATACTTATTAAGATTCTAAATATTATTTTTCTATTATTGTATAAAGAAACTATATTTATGAATGTTAGTTTGATTTAAATTATTATGATTGTTGAAAATTCATACTTAGCATTAAATTTAATCGAATCCTCAACTAATCATCCATTTCTATAACATGGGATTTGAAAATGCATTCGTCACTTAAAATTTTGGTCGTTTCTAAAATTATTAGTTATTTTTATATCATATCAATCTTTTATGATAGTGTACAGTAGGATTGTATACTTAAACTCATTATCGTAGAATACTGTATGTACTTGAGCTATGATGGATACCGAGTGGTTGGCCTAAAATTTGAAAATACTCGATTCCTAGTCATTGAGTTGGATTCTCGAAGTTCGCCCTATCTACTTGATTTTATGCCATGGGTAATCAATAATTAACTATCAAACATAGAAGTTCAAACAAATAAAACTGTATTTGATCATTTAAGCTATGAAACTTTCTGTGCATTACAGTGTTGGAAATTGATCTCATTGTTACACGTGTTAATCCGTTAGTGTTCCACATATGGTTCTATGCACACTCATATGAATGAAACATTATGGTTTTACATATTTTTGAAAAGCTTTAGCTTTGTCTACTCCTAGTACATATGTTCTTTATTCTCGGCTTAGAGATTAGCTGCTGTTATAAAGATATAGTAGTGATCACTGTTACAATTCTGTGATCTAAATACCACTGTCTTATATGAGTTTTATATTAGTATCTATGTTTATATGATTCGTATGCTTTGTTTTTATTTGCTTACGGTTTGCCCTCAACTACCAATGGTAAGACTCATTAGCGTATATTTCTTTGTCTTGAAATTTTTAGTGGATATTTTGCAAAATTGGTTCATTAAATCTGGTCAGCATCAAGTAGTAGAAATATGTTATTAATTACGATTAGGTGATATATTAGCATAAATAGTCATCGACATTAAACTAAGAGTCTCAATTTGACGAGTATTTATTTGTCGAAGTACAACACCTTTTAACATAAAGAAAAGTAGTTTACACTCTATTAACAGTTTATTAACCCCATGAGTAAGACGATTTATTACCTGAGGAATGAATTCTAAGTAATAAAATTGTGTGGAATTACACTTTACATTTCTGAAAAGGTTGATAATACAAACACTGAACTCTTGAGTAGTATTGTTTTTTAATTCAACTGTTATGCATACAATTGAGTAGTATCTTTAATATCCTACTATTTCTCATTTCACAGGTTATTTGTTACGTGTATTTTACACGTGTCATTGTCTACCTGATGACAATCACTGTAGTCTATTCGTATTCATGGCTTGTGGAATTATTCAAGGAAACGGTGACTTTCATTTTCTTTATTTCAGTTGGTTATGAGTTTCGTCCAGTTAATGATAATCCTTATTTACTCGTTTCTGATGAAGATGACGATGAAGATACTGTGATGGAACGTATGCAAATGGAAGATATGTAAGTAGTATTATTTTGGTTTGTGTACACAATCTTATGACTCTTAACTTTTTCATCTCCAATTCCATTTTTTCTCTTTCAGAATTACGTTTCTCTCGTTTATAGTTCTATTTTATTTCAAATTCATTTCTTCTCTTTTGCTTCTTATTTTGTTAATTTCTCTTTTCGTTAAGAATTTATATTATTCTTCTTAAATAAGTCGTTGGTCATCGTAATGTAATAGCTTGGTATCTAGGTCCAAGGATTAATTAAGCGGTTCTAAGTGTATCCAATTGACGTCCAGAATAATTGTCATAGAAAATTTCTATCCTGATTTTTCACCGCTAGCTACTACTACTACTACTCTTAACATTTTTGCTTCTTAAATAATAATAATAATAATAATAATAATAATAATAATAATAATAATAATAATAATAATAATAATAATAATAATAATAATAATAATAATAGATTTTCCTCTCTTTCACACCATGTGTAAATAGAAGGTTGATATTCATTTTGCATACAGAATAAATTATAATGCCATTTAATTAAATATAATAATTATTGCTTATAGTATTGACCATTTTACAATCACATGCTTTTTATCCAATAATAATTCATTGAAAATAAATTGAAATATCCTTAATTCATCAATAAGGTTTGTAGCGGTAAAGAAATCCCCAAAATAAATAGTTTCGTAAGCCTTCAACATTTGATTCTGGCCTCATTAGTTTTCATTGACACATCGAGCTGAAGTCACTCTGTCACGCATCTTCACCAGATCACGAGTGGGTACGCCGTGTTACGCATCTCCTACAACTGTTAGCCAGGTTAGGTCAGACTCATTTCGAGATGTCGATAGCCTTTCAAATATAACTTCGAACCTCTTCACTTCTTATTTGACTGGGTTGACATACTTCGTTTATAAAGATGTTACTGTTAAAGTCGTTGTCAGACTCCGAATACTTGCAGCATTTTTAGTGATGAACCTGACGTGATCTGGTACACCAATTCGTAAACTGTGAGTCTGTTCCTCTTTGGAACAGGCTTTAGTTAAATTACAGAAATGGTTAAAAAGGAAAGACGTAACGTTTAATCTGCTGATGAACACAATAGGAAAACAAAATGTTAATATTTTTTTCTACACTTTCATAGATGGATGATAGGATTTGGTTACATATAATGCGGTAGATGTATTTATTGAATGAATTATATTTACATTTATTTATTTTCTTTTTATTATTCACACACTGATTTCAAATATTATTCCCATTCTTAAGTAACAATAACTTGAATATGTAAATGTGATTAATTTCAAAATGAAACGTTTTATCGGTGCTGAACTTTTATGTTTTTCAAATAATTATTCGATGATAATCATTAAAACTTCAGATTCTTTAATATACATTTACAAGATCTGACCAAACATTTTATAAGGTCTACACCTTAGTTGGCATATTACATCACTAACAGAAGTTTTATTTATCCATAATAAATTTCAAGAAGTTAAACCTATGTGTACAAAGATGACTTTTCAGTATAGGGTTGTGGAGATTATCAAGTTTTTGATTGAGATCATGAAACGATTGATGTTAGACCACCATTGAAAACCTAGAAGCACTGGACGACCGTTTCGTCCTATTGCGGGGCTCCTCAGTGGTGCGCACCCATGACCCCACTCGCGGGGTTTTAACCCGGGGCCTCCGGTCTCACGCGCTAACGCTTAACCTACTTGACCACTGAGCCAGTGCCCAACGGTGTTAATGTCTAACCTCAACCAATCCACAAGATTGCACGACCATCGTCCATACTTGTCTCTATCCGACACGGAATAACTCCACCGGGTTAGGCGTTCGCTCGCGAGACTGAAGGCCTCGGGTTCGAATCCCGCGAGCGGGACCGTGGATGCGCACTGCTGAGGGGTCCCGAAATAGGACGAAACGGTCGTCCAGTGCTTCCAGGTTTTCAATGGTGGTCTAACATCAATCGGTTCAAGATCTCGATCGAAGATGAATTTGACAGATCACTGTTTTTACGTATTCATGACATCCTACTTTCACATAATGTTTATAGTTGTTTTTATTTCAATAATAGGACAGTTGTTGCTTTTCCAATTAGAATTTTTTAATCACATGTTTCATTTGTTTTTTAATAGATTATTTCCTTTAATTATCTCCATAACGAAGTGTTTGTTTTGCTAAATATTTTTTAGTTCTGTTAGAACTATTTATTTGGTTAATAAAATTAATATAGTTAATTTTTCCGTCATAAATCACTGTAATAATGAACTGGTAAGTTGTCTGTGTTGAAATCTGATGGTCAATATTTATAGATTTATTCAGTTAATGATATACAACAGTGATCATATAGTGTAATCGGCGGTCAAAATTGTGTTGTCACTTTCGATATGGTTGTATCCTACAAGTTATGACTTTTCAGTGAAACTACGGAGTTATCTTGATACAAGTTATTAATCAGTAGAAAATTACTGTTCAGTTTAGTGGTTCTTTTTTACTTACTTACTTACTCCTGTTACCCCTTATGGAGAAGCATACGCCGCCCACCAGCATTCTACATCTAACTCTGTCCTGGGCATTCCTTTACAGTTGCTGTTAATCCTTTTTCACGTCTACTTCCAATTCCCGGCGCAGTGTTTTCTTTGGCCTTCCTCTTTTTCCTTTCCCTTCAGGATTCCAAGTTAGCGCTTGACGTGGTTGGATAATTTCTTCAGTGCATGTCCTATCCACCTCCATAGTTATTTCCTAATTTTTGTCTTCACCTGGAAGCTGGTTTGTTCTTTCGTATATTAAGCTATTGCTGATGGTATCCGACCAACGGACATTGAGTATTTTCAGTAGACAATTGTTTATTAATACGTGTACTTTCTAATGATAGTTGTAGTTCTCGAAGTTTCATCTCCGTACATTAGAATTGACTGTCTTCACGTTCGTATTAAAGTTTCTGACTTTGATATTGGCTGACAGTTGTTTTGAGTTCCATATGTTCTTCAACTGTAGGAATGTTGCTTTTACTTTAACAATCCTTGCATTCATATCTGTATCAGATCCTCCTTGTTTATCGATGATGCTATCCAGGTAAGTGAAAGTTTTCATCTCTTCCAGAGCTTCTATATCAGGTGTGATTGCGTTAGTGATCTCCGTGTTGTATTTGAGGATCTTGCTATTTCCCTTGTATATGTTGAGGCCTACTAATGCAGAGGCTGTTGCTACACTGGTGGTCTTGACCTGCATTTATTGGTGTGTATGGGATAGAAGGGTTAGGTGATCCGTGAAGTTCGAATGGTCTAGTCGCATGCAAGCTGTCCATTGTATTCCGTGCTTCCCCTCAGATATGGAGGTCTTCACAATCCATTCAACCACCAGAATACAAAGGAAAGGGGAGAGTAAGCAGCGTTCTCTGACTCCGGTCTTCACTTTGAATACATGTATCAGCTGTCTTCTATGCATGACTTTGCAATGTAGTCCGTCATATTAATTCCATATGATGTTGACGATTTTCTCAGGTATACTATAGTATCGAAGGTTCCATAAGATTCTTCTATCCACACTGTCGAACGTCAAGTTGATGTATAGTGACAAATTTCACCCAACTGATCGTTCGACGATGATCTGTGGTGTCGTGATTTGGTCTGTTGACGACAGATCCTTACGGAATCCAACCTGCTGATCTCGAAGTTGGGTGTCTACTGCGTCTTTCATCCGTTTCAGCAACACTATTGAAAACCTTTCGTGGTACTTATAGTAGTGTTATTCCTCTGTAGTTCTCACACTTGCTGTGATCTCCTTTCTTTGATATTGTGATGATTTATCTTACTTTCCAGTCTGTCGGCACTTGTTCTTTCTCTTAAATCTACCTGAGTAGAACGTGAAGGATGTCTTCAGTCACTTCTATGACTAACTTCAGTGCATCGACTGGCATGTCAGGTCGTATTGCTTTCCCACTCTTGATTTGTCTGATGATCGGCCATCCTAATTTCTTCGATCGTTGGTGGGGTGACATCTATAGGAAGGTCTGTGCGTACTGTTTCGATGTCCGTTGGATTCAATAGAGCCGGTCTGTTGAAGAGTTTCTCAGTGTTTCATCCATCTGTTCCTTTGTTCTTGAATCTCAGTGATTGTCTCGCCTTCTTTGTCCTTGACCGATCTCTCCGGTTTACTACATTTTCCTGCCAGTTTTTTCATTGTTTCATATAATTTTCTGATATTTCCTTTTGTTGCAGCTCTTTTCGCTATCGTTGCTAGGTCCTCCACGTATTTTTGTTTGTCGGTTCTATTACTGCTCCCCATTCGCTCGTTTGCTTGAGAGTATTCAGCTTGTGCCCTGACTTTCTCTGTTCTTATTTGGCTATTGTTAATTGCTATCTTCCTGTTCTTCCTTTTTTGAATCTTGTCTCGGGTTTCGATAGAGATGCATTCTTTATGACGATGCTTGTTGCGGCCCAGAACCTTCTGATTCGTTGATGTTAGTGCTTCTTTGATCCCTTTCCAGTAGTTTCTTCTTCTTTCAGCAGATCTTGTAAGGCTTGTAACCTGTCGTTTAGAGTTATCTTGAATTCGTTTTGTTAGTCTTTGACGAGGACTCTTCGAATTTAACTGATATATATAAACTGCTCTAGTAAACATACAAGTTCTTACTATGACAATTCAATATGTTTAAATACAATTCAGTCAGTTGCGTTGTGTCAGCGGCTGACATTCCTGACTTGCCAATACTTATTCTTGATGTAACTGGAAATGACTAGAATAATAGTGGTTTTGGCTACCTGGGAAAGTGACCTCAGAGCCCAATGGACTACTGCTTAAGGCATGTCGTACATAATCTATTTGCCAGCAGTTCCTGGTGTGTTGGCTTCACACTTTGAATGCTTTACCGCTGGTGGTAGCAATCCGTGAATTTTGGTGAGGTTTGCCATTTTGTGTCGATGTTTCCTAACTTCTTCCGTCTATTATAAGAGGGCACCACTGCGGTATTTATTAGGTGTTTGACGGAATTGTCTGACGGCCATCAAACTTCAGTACAGTTTAAAGTAAAACTTTTCCCTTGGGCGTTAATCTGTTGCTTTCAAACCTATCATTCTCCAACTGACCTACATAGCATGATAAATACCTAAGGAAACAAGTGCCCGGCCAATCTACTTCGTTTGGGTCATCACAATAGGCAACCCCGTTTATCATGTCAAGATAACAGCAGGCAGAAAATAAAAGTGTTTCATCTTTTAACAAACACGTGTTTATCAGTTGTAAAATTTTTATTAGTGTAGTATTTCGCTTTAACTAAAATCCGTCTATATTACATATATTATCCACTAGTAGTAGGGTAATACTTTGTTTATTTGTTTATTTAAACATATAAATATCGGTACAATGAGGCACCAAATATATATATGCCACACATCGTTATTCGGTTTGTGTGAGGACTGAAATACTGCCCGGGTATAATATTTGATATATCCTAATTATGCCATTAAATTTCAGAGATATAGAATTCTTAACCAATACTCATTATTTCGGTTTCTTGTTTACTTGAAAATATTAACCTCTACGTTCTTATATTTAGACGATTGTCGATCAGACGTGAGTAAAAATAAATAGTTTTGTCAATAAGAAGAAAATGTACTTGACTTGTTATCTGTTACTTGTTTTGTTTAAAATGATTAGTTTTATAATAGGTTGTGCACGCAATCCTATAAATGTGTTTCATTATTTTCCCTCTTACTTCCATAGATGGTCTCAGTCTGGTTTAACAGATGGAGTGACACGAGTACAAAGATCCCAGTCGAAGCGTAAATCAAATATTCCAATGAAAACTTATCCAAAAAGTCAAGATAAAGAATCATTACTACAAGGAGTAGAAAATGCATAGTTTTATTCTAAATATATGCTTCTCAATCCTCTCCCATCTAATATCAATCTACACTGCAAAACAGATCAAAAATAAAACGATTTTATGTGTATACACGTTTGTGTAGTGCTATTACTACTACTTCTTTTGCTACCAACTATGTGATTTTCTTTAGTTATCTTATTTCTGTTTTGCAGTTTTATAAACATGTATAGTAAATATCCAAGTGTAGATGCGCATGTATGGGAAATTCGTCCCTATTTCCCCTCCCGCCCACAAAAACATTTATGGTACTTTTCTGATCTTCTTATATCCACTCATGTTGTTTTCCTAACAGACATTTTGTACACACGGATTCTTCTTTTATGGTTATTGTTTTTTTCGTACGATTATGTTCGTGTGTACGAGGCCTACTCTCTCTCTCTCTCTCTCTCTCTCTCTCTCTCTCTCTCTCTCTCTCTCTCTCTCTCTCTCTCTCTCTTGTTCTCTCATATAAATAAAATTTATCACTTCAAAACAAACCTTTGAGAAAAATAAACTCATCTATTTTGTCATTTTTAAATAAAGCATACAAAATGCATGTAAACTTATCATTATATTGAGTGGAATTAAATAATACTCCACAATAAGAACGACAAACAACGATAAATTTTGATAGTGCGATAAGAAGATGAAGATTATCAGAATTATGTCATATACTTGCGCAACACATAGTTTTTAAGTACATTTGTGATCAGATTGTCCGAAATGTATTGCGCAAATACATTACATAATTCTGATAACCTTCGTCTTCTCATCGTATTATCCAAATTTATCAAAGGAACTAATTGTTTTAGACAACAGTAAATTGTTTACATCAAAATGATTAGTTTTATTTTGTTTTACTCCTGGCTTTTGCCTTTTGATTGTTACTATCACTAAATCCTGTAACATGATGACTTGCAGTGCAGATTTTTATTTGTTCGTTTCCTTTTTTAAACCTCTAATCCACTTTCTTGTTTGCAGAAAAAAAAGTATCTGTAGTTTTCTCACTTCCACTATCATATTAAAAATAATAGCTGAAATAAGATTTTGTTTGTATAATGCTCTGTTGTATTTTATTTATTTAAACACATAAACATAGGTACAAGAAAGAACCAAATAGATATGTGCCACATAAATCATTCGATTTGTGTGAGAGCTGTAATACTGACCGGGTACCCGATCCGAAGCAGGTAGTTTTCTTAGGGGGCCACACCCCGAGCCTTTGACATGAAGGTCTAATCCACAAGGCAGTGGAGCAACGTAAGAAGATGCGGTCCCATGGTAGCCGGTGACCAACGATTGATTCATACGCCATTTATTCCTTCATGATACTGGAGTCTATGTCCACCATTGGTTTGGAATCAGGGTTTTCCAACTCCCCTAGATGAATCTTCCGTACCCACCAACCCGGTTAAAGCGCCGGACATTCGCCTTTCATCCTCTGAATTTCGTAAACAACACCCCTGCTGCGAGAAAGCAGTGAGTAAGAGTTCCTTGACAGTGGCTGTATACGCGTGGTCATGTGAGAGCATTTGGAGAGGGAGAGCGGACCCTCTCCACCCTCTGCCGTACCAGGGCATTTTGGGGCTACGTATCGGGGTGGCATTCAAACCCACGTCCACATTTTGAACCAGAACACTTGAGTCTGACGCCTTAAACCGCCCGGCCACTCCAACGTTGTACTTAATTGGTCACTGGACAGTGATCAATGTCTTGTTTGTTTAGTCTTTTTGTACTGATTGATTAAGTTACGATATGGTTACTGGTCTAAATAACTCAACAAGGATAAGTGCATTAATATTTGATAGGGGTGAATAAAAAAAATTCGGCTTCAGTCATAGCTTTATTTCTTTGTTCATTATTAGAAGTGCACTTAATCTTTTTTTTAGGTTTACACAATCGTTTAGTCTTGCATAGCACATATTTAATTAACAATGATTTATGAGGAATTTGTAAATAGCTCATTTTAAAAGTGAGTAATAAAAACCAATGGTTTTGTCAACAAATGAAACAAATTCACTAGTATATTATCTGTTTATGTAAAACTGACGGACTCGAGTAATTTTCTTAAAGTGTATGAGATTATGTAACAAGCTGAAATTTACTGTTCAATTGATGAATGATAGGCAAAAATAACATCTGTGTGAAAATTCAAAACCCTCTTCAGAACTGCTGGAACAAAATACTCTGATGTACCTTATCATACTGAAGTTTTTTGGCTATACTTTCGAAACTTACTGAGAAGAGTTCGAAATTTCTGTGAAAAGTTGTGGTATTCCTTTAAATCGAAAACATTCTATACGGGATTTTCATTAATAATATAAAGACAACCTAATGGTTTTCTCTTTTTAAGTTTTCTGCTAATATTATCGGTATACTAAATTAACTCAATAGGAAATGGTAGAGTGTGTTTACAGAAATTAAAGCGTTTGAAATCATGATGTTTCGAACATCTCAAAGAGATCACATCTCACAACAATTTTCCAACCGCTTCACTGAGATAGTTAATTGTGATCTCCACGTGCGACTAACACATCGCGAAGTCGACAACAGCATAAACAAACTCATTGCTGGTATGACATTGGTAGAGTTGTAACTTTCCACAAATATTCTGCCTTTCTCGGTCAACCTGCAATCACTAACAAGTTGTGTACAAAATTCAACAGTTTCAAATTCATATATTAGCGAACAGACTCAAATGTTGAGAAATGTTTATGCATTACGACAAGTGAAGTGATTCCCGGTCATCGCATACTAGTTATGAAACAGTGTATATTTGCACATATCTTACTGATTTAGTAACAGTGATCATGATTTTTTGAGTAACCATTAGTTTTGTTGTAGGCATCATTACCAAGGTTTGGCTTGATAATTCCGAAAAAACTGAGCGTTGGATAAATTGTTAAAAATAAATTCATACATTTGTAATATCCCAATGAATATGAAAATTAAATTTGCTGGCGTTTTGTGACTCAATGTTATCCACTTCTTCTGAGAATAAATAACCAAATGGTTATCTATACACTGAGTCTTACTGATGTAGTAACAGAGATCATCTCGATGATTTTTTGAGTAAATATTATTTTACTTGACAGGTGATATATATTACAGTATTCTAGATAAGATTTAGACGTTTTGAGTATGTCAGAGTGCTACATAACTCGGTTTATTTGGCTCTTTGACAAAATAATTGACTCGTTGGCTACCTAGCATCACTTAGATTTATCAACAAAAGTGAAGAAAATAATTTGAATTAAAATTAAATCATCAAATTTATTATTTATGTTTTAACATTTTGAAAAAGGAAGAAGAATTTCAAACTAGAAAAGAACAGTAGCATTAAATAAATGACAAAAAACACTAAACTGTCAAAATTTTACAATATGTATATCTCTTCTTATTACAATAAACAGTGAAAAATAAAAGTCCTTTAATAAAGAAGCAATGGTTAACATGTATATTTATGCTCAATATATATTCATCAATCCAATAAACTCCTAAATATTTGAAGAAATATATATTCAAAAGCAGCCTAACACTTATAGGTTATAATATGAATATGCAAACATCCCCCTCCAATATATGTACCTTTTTTATTGACTAACTTGAGGGGCAGGTATACCGAAACACTCAGTAATAGTTAGCAAAACATAGTTTGTGAAATACTGAACTGTAATAATAATACTTATTATTATAAAATCAGAGAATATATTTAGAATAAAGTTAAATTCAAAAAATTGCTATTTTTTTAAAGGTTGGTAATTAGGTAAATTATGTTGTATTTTTGCTTTTTTTTTAAAAAAAAAAGAAAACAAAAAGTTTTCAACATCATAATATTATGGTAATGGTATAAACCTCTTTTAGAATAGATGTAAAATAATCTTGAATTTGTTGAAATTTTTTTACTTGAATTAATATAGAAACAAAAATTTAACATTGAATTGTTCAATAAAATTTGATTTATATATATATATATATATATAAGCATTTAAAGCGATAATATTTGTTTTAATTCATGTAACTATTATTGATTTTAATTATTCTAGATCTTTGAACCTCTTTTAATTATGATAAATAAACTAAACAACATTTATCCCAACATGAAAATAAAATACATTTTGGAAACAGTTTTTTTGTTTTACTTTTTTTTCAAAAATAAAATAACGTGGTTATTTTAAATTTAAAAATTTAATTCTGATATTTTAATGTTGACAATAAATTTGTTTGTTTGTTTTAATAAACAAAAGAAAGAGTAAGAATTATTATATGAAATGCTTAGAGAAAAGAAAAGAAAAACAAACATTAAAAGCATAATTAATTTAAATAAAATAATGTTGACAATGGTTGTGTTCTCATACATACAACACATTTACTAACTGAATCTTGACTATTACGTACTTTGATGACAGTACCCATGACCATACCAAACATATGTTCATCCATAGAACTAGGCATAACACGTAACCAGAAATTTTTATGTTCTTCAAAAAATCCACATAAACCTTTTGCAGTACATTCAATAAACATATGAGATCGAAATTGTGGTAAACAACTACCTGGAGATGCTAATTGTTGTCCTCCACCTTGTGCTCCATAACCAGTATTCTAGAATAATTGAAAAATTGTTTATAGTAAATATATTTTTATTTAGTACTCAGTATACAGTGTAAATTCAGGAATATTATATGAAAAGAACTATTTAATTGATATATAAATTGATTGAAGATAGTTGATTTTACACTTTAGACAATTATAGTACTAGCTGAGCTGTTTGGACTTCAAATTATCTTCTGTACGATTGAGGAGTTTTCTGGTCACTTAATACTTACTGGAATTATATAACCTTATCTTTAGTTTTTCAAGTTGGAAAACATGTGAAAGTTAACAGGTGAAACCCTAAAACTCCTTTTCATGACAATAAAAAATTCTGAGGAAAATTCCTAATCTTTCCCTTTGATTCATTCAATGTAACAGTTAATAATTAAATACGATTTTATAAAATCTTGAATAATTTTCTCTTTATTACAAACATATCGAAACAATTACTACAGTGACCGAAGTAATTGGTAGGTTTTTCAAAAAACAGATCCTAATAGTCAAGTAGAATTGATTTCAGTAATTGGAACCATTAGGCAGCTGATTGAATATCAATTAACGAACTGAGGATATTATTGAGCTTTCAGCTATGATTGACAGGCTTGAGAGAGCAAGTGAATAGAAAAGGTTTAAAATGAAGTTCATAAGAGAATCAGTGAGTTTGAGATGGTGGAGAAGATTTGTAGCTCAGGTGAATGATTTAGGTGGTGTTTTGTTCTTTGAGCTGGATGCTTTGGTCGTGGAGCTTTCATCGTTTTTCTGAACGACAGCATCAGCACAAACTTCAGGTAGAAGTGAAGTGTACGAATTTCTCCACATATGGTTCATACTACATAGGACAAAGCGGACAGCCTCTTCAATTAGCGGTCAAACGCCATGATATTTCCTCTCTTATATCAATGCATGTGGACAACTGCGGACACACATTCGACTGGAAAAATGTGGAAATCTTGGATAGAGGCAATTCTAAAAATACCAGGAAATTTTTAGAAGCTTGGCAATCAACAAGCACATTGAAATCGACCCAATTTATCAACCAATCAGGAAAATTATGGACAAACATATGACCAAAAATGAAATCAATGGGAGATACAATAAAAACAAAGAAGTAAACAATGACAGGTTTAAGGTCAACAGAAACCAATCAACATTGAGGTCTACAGGATAAGCTGTGAACCATATATGGAGAAATTCGTACACTTCACTTCTACCTGCTGATGCTGTCGTTCAGAAGAACGATGAAAGCTCTACGACCAAACCATGCAGATCAGAGAACAAAACTCCATCAAAATCAATTAGTCTTTATTTATGTTCATTATATCACTTGAAATTTTAGCATCAGCAAATTAATTTATCTATTTATTTGAATTGTGAAGGAATGAAAGCATACTTAGAAGAAAACTGACTTAAAACTATTTATTCAAAAATAGTCTGCATGGTTATTTTTGGGTACAAACTAATGA